CGATACTCAACGAACTCTAAACCCGCTCACGTAGCGGAGAAAGAAAGAGAGAGGGACAGAAAGAAGGAGAAGAGGGGGAGGGAGAGAGGAAAAGAGGGAGAGAATCGAAGAGCGAGAAGAACTACAACGGAATCGTTCGAAAGTAGTTGAAATCTTTTATTATCGCTGAACTCGCCTTGTCGACACGATACTACCGCGTGAACGACTCTTCTCGAAAGAGAAAAGAATCATGTCGACGTGTCGGATGTAAAACAGCGCGCGATGCTGTCACATCTCATTTGGACACTTGATATCCAGCGTGATCGAATGAACATTTTATCGCGAATAAGAGGAATTTCCGGCGACGTGGCTGCCTGAATTAACCTGAGTGTTAACAACTGTTTTATGACAGGAGAAGAAAGCTTACCGCGGTCGCATCATCTTTCGGATGAGTAACGCAACACGGAGAACGTAACGCGGAACACGACGTGTCTTTGTTCGACGCACCGTTTTGGTGTAAACGTTCCGTTTCGAGCCGTTTCGAGCCGTCGAATTTCTCGAAAAATATCGAGTACTCTCTCTCCACTGCGGAAAACTCACGTTCGCGGCTAACGGGTTATCGGTGGAAAAAAAGGGGCGGATAGAGAGCGGGGAGGAGAAAATATCCGACCGCGGTACCCGTCTCTTTGCGCGTAATAATTGTCCGGCTTGTGCCGTCGTGAGTTATCGAAAATAGTTCGCCGAACAACTATGAAGCATCGAGCACCGTTGGGAGCTGACGTCATACGCGGATTTATCGTCCGGCAAACGCCGACCGCTTCCCATCGCCAGGATATAGTTCTCGCCCGTTCTCGCGGTAGAAACGAGACCGATCGGAACACAATATTCGCGTAAAGCGATATACCGGGCGGTTCTCCGCAATTTCGATTCGACAAGCACAGCGTGGTTACCAAACCAACCAACCAACCAACCACCTCCGCGCTGCTCGTGACCCTTAAGTAGTCGACGGCGATCGGAGTAGTCCGCGTTCCGTTCTCATAACGCGAAGCGAATCTTCTCGTCCACGGACACATTTTTCCGCATCTTCCTTCTTCCCGTTCCTTTTCGTAAGTTTCACGCATAAACTACATTACAAATGAACAGGATAAAAGTCGCGAGTCGTTTCATGTGGCTTCACCTGTCCGTTGCTTTACACGTCTCTCCTTGGCTCGCTGATTTTCGCTGACAAATTCCATTCATTTTTGGCGGGAAAATGTGCTACCCTGTGCTCTGAAACTAAACAGGATGTCGCAACGTGATATTCTCGGTGAAGTTGTCGCGACTGCTTAAGGGTTAAGGTACGGCCCACTCGATTGCCTAGAGTCTTCTCTCTACACAGACACACGCGCACGCACATACATACATACATACATACATACATACATACATACATACATACATACATACATACATACATACATACATACATACACATATACATGCACACACACACACACACACACACACACACACACACACACACACACACACACACACACACACACACACACACACACACACACACACACACACACACACACACACACGTACGTACATGCACGCATACACACGCAGATTTCCCTATGACATTTACGAATTACCAGTTAGTATTAAATTGTAAAACATAGCTACGTGTCCGATTAGAGCGATTAGTCGCGCTACTTAGAGACTTCGCTATATTAGAAGGGTGAGGAGGAGGGGGAGCAGGAAGGAGTGCAACTCTACTCTTCCGATCTAACACCGAGAAACGCGAGATGCCGAAAACTGTGGAACGGACGAGAGAGGAAACAGAAAGGTAATGATAAACCGGAAGTAACTTGGCCAACAAAGCACCCCGTTATTTCCTCTTTGTGTTTTTGCGCTTCTCTTTTCCCCTGTTGATACCGATGCTGCGAAGTTGAAGTAACGGCAACGGCGCGTGTTTTCAGGGACACACTTCCGTTTCGTTTGATTTCGGAGCGAAATAGAGCGAAGAACAAATCCGAGTCGAGAGTCATTTAAATGGAAATTATCGGGAGAAGCTTCCGAATCGAATGCAAATCGCGATGCAGATTGTATCGATCAAAAACGTTCGTTCAATCCCTCCGAACGCTCGCGAGTTTACTAGGCACGTTGTAGATATATTTATTACGCGGTCGCGTGCAACTGATCCGAGTACACACAAAGCTAACGATAAAAACGTGATCACGCTCGGAGCGTGTCTAATAATATTGACTAATCGATCAACTCTCTGTGAGTGGAATAAACACGGCTTTGGTAGAATCGGTTAGTTCCATTTCTCTCCCTGTGATACACACCGCAAATAGTACATCATAACGCCGTCGAAGAGGCCGAAGCATGGGTGCGATTTATAGAAATTATCATTAACTTAGCTTACACCTTGAGCGATCGCAAATTATCGCACGATCAAGCGCATTTCGATTACTCCTCGGGTGACTTGCGAGCCAACGGCGGTGTGGCAATCAAAGCCGCACGCGGCTTTTGTGCCGGAGAGAATCCAGTGTCCCTTACATTAATGCGTCAGGCTCGTGGAAAATCTCGTGAATGCGTGGGGGAGTGTATTAACGCGTGTCTATGTAACAGTGAGAGACGTGTCGAGTCGCAGGAGAGTAATCGCTTTATACATTAAATAAGGAATAAATAACCGCTCGCTGTACGGATCGACGAGCATTTTGACAAGCGCAAGTGAATAACGTTACACGTAATAAACTGTACAGAATATTACAAAGAGTCGTCGGGTATGTATAATATGTATATTTGTATGTGTATATATATATATATATACATATATAACATATATATATATATATATATATAGTGTGTGTGTGTGTGTCTATTTATATATTTATATATAAACGTTGGTTAAGTAACACCGTCGTGAAAACGCTCAACAAAAGAGATATTGCCGTTGTTGTAACGAGACTTAGGCGCCCGCACGAAATCGCCATCGCGTGCAAATCAACCAATGCTTATACGATGCCACATTACTCGAGGAAAGGAAAAACATCGCTATCGCTATCACTACGGTCTAATTAACAAAATGTACAGGCTTCGGCGGGAACCGCGGGGGAGCGCGACTCGTTTCGTGGACAGACACCGAGATTCTCGTGAGCTTCCATAAAGGCGAGACGAAAATGTCGCGAGCAATTTTCGTGGTAAATCAAAGCACGTTTCCTGCCCGTGAAGGGAATGCGGCTAATACAGGTGTCGATCCCAGGAGACAATTTTCCCGCGCGACCAATTGCTCTTCTCAATTACATCGCGCGAGAAAAAGTTCGTAGGACGTCAAAATATTAAAATATTAACCTCGCGCAGTTTCTCCTCTCCGTTTGCTTTTCTCGTCCGATATTATATTCGTTTCACTTATTCGATTCTCGGCTCGACTTTTCTCGCTTTATAGGGAAGCGGTACCCGGAGGAACGAAAATTCCTTTTCGTATTCCGAATGAACCTCCGACTGAATGAAATTGGGAGGTACCGCGCGCCGTTGGGAAACTACGGTGGCGCTTCGTGCCCCAAAATAAGAGGAGAATCTCGGGGGGTTTGCCTCCTCCGGGAGTTGCGACGCCTCGCCCGGTTCCCGATCAGCGAATAAACAGCCAACAGTTAAGCTCTCGTGAGAAGCTTGAACGTAATTCGACGCTATCGAGACGCGGACGCGCGAAAATTCGCGAGGGTATCTCTCGCTCGCGAGGGCTCGTCGGTGGCGATAAGGTCGGGCGCGATGACAAACCAAACGGCGTTCTCTCCGCGCTCTCATTATCGAATGCCATCTCCTCCTCCCATCGAGGCGGATCAGATAAATTTCAATGCCGGCCGAAAGTAGCGATTCGTGACACAGCCATCGCGAGATCAATGACGGAATAGAGTGAATCACATTGGGTGACGACAGTGAGTGGCAGCTTTATCATCGGGCAGTGTGATCGCGAGATCAACTAATTAACTAAAACTGTAAATGAATGGCAAAGTCATCGGTGTGTCGCCACCAGTTTGTAGTCAAACTCGCGTTGGCCACCGGTGATGAGTTTGGTCGATTTCGATCGTTATCAATCAATATATTGTCGATATATTGTCGACGTTGCATGAAGCAACGACCTTGCATGCCACCGAGTTATATTCACGGATCACGCCGACCTGGTCGACGCGAAACGTCGCGTAACCGTAAACGATTCCTTCGAACGCTTCATCCGGATAATCGCTGCCTTCTTCCCGAGTCACGCAATGCGTATCGCGTCTCGGATACTTTTGTTTATTCCTCGTTGGCGAGGAGAGATCTCACGTCGACGCAACTTTCGCGCAAAATTGGAGAATTTCACGCGAAAGCCCCGTATAATCTGCCGGAGGCCTCTCGATTGATCGTTAACGGGCATTGAAAATGCGAGCGCATGCTCACCGGAATAGAGAGAGAGAGAGAGCCGCGGAGATGTCCGTTTCCGCCATTTGCACTTTTCCGACTCGGGCGCGTGAAAAATGTACGGCGCAACGCGCGACCGACGAGCTCGTATCCGAGAGAGATGCCCCGCGAGACATTTTCCGCGCGGATTTTTCGCACGCGCGCGAGAGCGTATCTCGAGTACGATAAACGCGACTGTCCTCGGTTAATCAGATAATAATTTAGACCGCGGATGAGAGAGACGAGTTCACAGCTCACGCGCGTCGTGATTTCGCGCGCGAGCATGGCACTGGCGCGCGTCTGTCGCGTTCGAAGCACGCCGTATCGCAAAACACCTCTCCATTACGTAACAATGGTGCGCGCGAGAGCGGAGGTCGCAAAAGAGAAAAGCCGATCGCGAAACGAGGACGCGATAGATCCGATCTTCCGCGCTCGGTTTCACCGCTGGCGAAATTAACGCGTTGCACATCCACATCCGCTTCCGCTCGGCGCAGCGTCATTAACTCTCTCGCACTCTGCAGCTCCCTCTCGTCCCTCCTCCCCCCTTCTCGCTCTCTCTCCCTCTCTCTCTCTCTCTCTCTCTCTCTCTCTCTCTCTCTCTCTCTCTCTCTCTCTCTCGCTCCCCCTCTGTCGAGCTTTCCCGAATGATTTTCAAATGCCGGGATGCGCGTTTCAATAGTGTCATTGCGGCGACAGACCAAAATCGCGTGTGTGTTGGAAAGTTAAAATTATCTGCAGAGCGGAAAATTGAAGACTTTAAAAAAGCTCTGGAAAGAGCCCCGTAAGAGCCGGAAATAAAAATGTCGGAATAAACTTGCCCGGAACGGGACGCGGGAGAAGTGTTCTCTGTACACATTCGTTTGGTACCTCATAGATGTTCCCGTAGAAATAGCGGCTACAGCGTGTGTACGTATATAGAGTCGTCCGTTTCGCGCGATATACGAGAGAGAGAACGGATACGGCAGTTACGGCCTTTCTCTTAAATCAAGACGTCAAATATCACAGAAGCGACAGCTCTACTTGGAGAAACGACTCTAACTCGATGAAATCATCAACAAATGCGTTCGATCGCGCGTTTTCCGCCCCTACTTATGATCCCCCTTTCACCGCGTTCGACTCCTCATTTAGACACTGTCCATATAACACCATGACCGTAAAGCTACGTTGGAAAGGAGAGAATTAACGTTTCTGTTGCCGATGAAACCGAGCACCGTGCACGGCGATGAATGAGAGAGCGAGGGATGCCTCTCGTCTCTCGACGACGACGCCGCCGTAAAATTACCATAGTTTTATTTCAACATCTATAAGTCGAGATAACGTGGATCCGGTAATTTCCACTACGTCCTCTATGATATATGTATGCATATAGGTCTCACCTACACCCTCCCGATCGAATGGTGATTGCAATCGTCCTTTCTCCCATTCGCGGAAACTCGACATTCCCAGCCGAAGGCTGGCGGACCTCCTCGCGTGTCGCAGCGGAGAGCTCCGTGCTCGAGACGCTCACTCGACGTCAGAGTCCAACCTCGAAGACTCGTGTGACGAGTCTCAAGTGAGAACGCGGTGCCGTAACGTCGATTCCGCGCGAGATGTCCGGCGAGCAGTGCTCACGTCAGCTCGACAAAATCAACGTGTCCGCTGTCGTTGTCAGCGCGCGCGCGCACACGTCTCGATCGTTTACGATCCGGCCCGACTTGGTCGTCGCGCCGACAAACGCCCCATCGACCGGATAACTACGAAGAGCCAAGGGAACGTCGCAAAAATCGTAAATCCCATCTTCGCCGAAGAACGAACGAACGAACGAACGAACGAACGAACGAACGAACGAACGAACGAACGAACGAACGAGTCGGCGAAGACAGCGCGCCCACTGAAACGAGAGCTTGTCCACTTTCCGGCCCGAGAAAGAGCGTGTCCTAGCCGCTCGGCTCGCAGAACGACGATAACACCTATCCTAAGTCTAAGTTTTGTCGCGTCGCTGAGATTGGCATGTACTTACGCGAACGTACGCGCGCACGCTCGCGCTCGCGCGCGCATGCGGCGTGTACGCTCCGGCCGTCGGCGCTGCTCGCTTCGCCGTTGCTTCGTTCGATCGCGATGGATAACTTCGTCAGGGCTGATCCTGGATCCGAGTGAACTCGACCGGCAGCGCGGCCACGACGTTCACCTGAACGCGGCGCCCGCGACGACCGTCGCCGCGGCGAGGATCATCGCCGTCGAGACCGCGAGGCCGGACGAGCTACCGGCCATCGGACCGGCGTCGCTGCTGCGGGACACCTTGCTGCGCACCAGCTGACCCCGCTCGACCGCGTTGGCCTCGTCGCTGTCGGGGTCGACCGGCGCGCCGATGTCGCCGTCCTCGTCCAGCAGCATCGACAGCTTGTTGCGCAACGGCTTCTTGGCGCAGGGCGCGCTCGTCTCCTCGTACGGCCTGAGGATGCGCGGGTAGTGCACCTCGAGGTTGTCCGTGCCGGGCAGGGCGCCCTTGCCGTTGCCGCAGAGCGGCTTGAACGTGCCGCTGCGGGTGACCTCCTGGAAGCTCTGGAAGTTGGACACCCAGTCATAGCCCAGTAGTCGCTCCTCCAGCGTCATGCCCGCCAGCTTCCTCGGCTCCTCGATCATCACCGGGCTGGAACCCCTGCACCAAATTCAAGCGTCCTCGTCTAGTCACCGTAGTCTCTCTATCCCTTTCTCCTTCCGTCTATTTCACGCGCGCGCGAACTACTTTCCCATTTTTACGCTCGGCTTGCGCGCTCTATTATTTCGGCCGTCGCGGCGCTACTTTGTCCCTCTCTTTATCTCTCTTTCTCTCTCTCTCTCTCTCTCTCCCGGTCTCTCTATTTTTGACAACCTTTTATATTTCACGGTGTGCGGCTTTTTCTTTCTCTCTTTCTTTTTGCTCGTCTCGCAAAAAGTAATCCGCTTATCTTCTTTTCTGATATTCGTGAGTATTTTCTAAAAGTGACTAATAAAAGGGTGATACGCAGCGTTCTAACATGTTATTTGTAACGAAGGAAATGGCGTTTACATTTGTCGGAATCACCGCGAGAGATGTGCAGAGAGAAAAGTCTCGCCGCGGTGCGGATCGACAGGTGCCGCGGGAAGTGCGGTAAAATGGAGAAATGTACAATGTACATCCGATCAGTGTTACGTAACGCGGCGTTCAGTGGCGCGTCCGCGACGCGACATAACTGTCGCTCGTTGAGTTAACGACAGTCGGTGCTTTCGTGACGTGCAGATTGTCCCTAATAGCCAATTTAGAGCGATCACACAGCGAAACGTCGGACACGACCGTCGTTTGCATAGGACCATATAAACGTCCCCGGTGGCAACGTGCGACGACTTGCGTGTCGTCTTGATGCGTCATCAAGACCGTTCGTCCCACTCGCGCGCGCGCGCGCGATCGTAACGACAGTTTTAAGAGACGACGGGAGTACGAATGGGGCCCGTTGTCGCGAAACAGATTCACGTTCGAGGTGATAAATTTCGGCGGAAGAATTAATCGTTAAACACCGCCATGAACGACACGACGCTCGCTCGCTGAGACCTCTCGTCGCGCGTAACGCGGATAAGGATTACTCGATCGCGCGAATGAACGAAAGTATCTGGAAACTTACTGCTTTAATTTCTGGATCCCCAAGCTGTGCAGCACGGTCGGCAGCGACGGCAGAGAATAACAGAGAGACAGCTCAATGCGCGGATAATAGAGAGCGGACACCAGGCAAGTTTCTTCTCTCGTCCCCAAGCCGCCGAGCGTGATGGCCCCCCGGGTTTCGGACGAGTACGTGCATTCGGCGACTAAGTGATCACCCTGTAAAATAAAACGAAGCGCCGAACGTGAGCATCGCCAGGCCATAACGGGAGATCGCGAAAGTTCGAGGATTTTGGAACGCGCTCGACATAATCCGCGATAAAACAGCGCCCGCGCTGTTCTGTTTCTTCAATCTCCCCCCCCCCCGCTCTTTCTCTTTGTCCAATCGTATCGTCATCTGTCGGTAAATGTGAGAGACGTAGCGTATTGTCTCTGGGGGTGTCGGCGCGCATCTTTTTTGGGACGACGACGCGAAGGTAACACGACTGAACGGCAATGTTCTCTGCCGATTGTATCAGAACGCGAGATTATTTTATTACCAGCCGGTCGAGAGATCGTCTCGATTCAGTTTCGCTTTTATTATATCACACTTTTACCCCCGCGTTAACACGTAATAGCGTTCAAGTGCTCTGCCGACTCGAAAACAATTAAACTCTGGTTCATGCCCCGCGTGCCCGTAGCATGTCTGCACTTTACGTGATCAAAGCTATACTTATTGCACGTTAATAAACTTTGTAACAAGCTCATAAACTTTCTGATACGTGCTGTGCGTTATAACGCGGCTTACACCACGTTCACGACAGCATAAACGAAAGGCGTGCAACGTGGCGGAAACAGAATAGAAAAATAAGAATATTAAACGGTTACTGTGCGAGTGCACGCTTGGCCCTGTATGTATGTGTGTGTGTGTGTGTGTGTGTGTGTGTGTGTGTGTGTGTGTGAGTATGTCTATATACAGATACGTAAGAGCTACCCGCGAAAGGCGCCTAAGAATAATATCTCGGATTACTTTAGTAGGGAAAATCTCGACGGGTATAATCCTCGGCAGTCGGAGTTTCCTTCCTCGATCCTTCGCGATTCTTTTCCTCCCTCCAGACTTAATCGGAAATATTTTATAATTACATTTAGCCGGAGCGGGCGATCGCGCCCACGAAAGAGATGAAAGTTTAACACCGATAAATTGGATTCTGATACGAAGATAGAAAAATGAAATCCCCTCTTGAACTCGGTAAGTGCGCGGCCGGTTCTTTCCCCCCCCCCCTTCCCCCCCGGTATAATTACACCGGCGTGCACGCGATGGTAGTAAATGAAATTAAAGACGAATAGTCACCGCGACTCGCGCTGATGATCGCGAAGAAACCCCCCTCTCTCCTCCTCTCCAGTCTTTGAATGCGCGCACGGACCAGCCATTTAGGCGGTACTCACCGGGTACACCTTGATCGGCCGCTGTAGCCTCCGATATTCCTGATAATTGGGATTGTAGTTGACGTCGGCGGCGATCGGCGGCAGCTCATCGCCGGCGCGGATCTGCCGCAGGCGCACCTTCCTGCCGAGCTGGTGGGTGTGCATGATCACGGCGAACATGTTGATGCCGGTATTCGGTATCGTCTGGCCGGTGCAGTCGGAGATGCAGTGGCCCTCGGAGACCACCTCGTGCTGGCCGGGCGGTATGATGTGCCGCCAGTTGGGGTCGATGCCGACGCTGAGTATGCCGGCGTCATGGACGCGCACTTGCTCGGTGTAGAGGAGACGCAGGCCGCTGCTGTCGCTGATGAAGGCGTCCAGCTGCGGGTTCGTGTAGTGCGTCTCCAGCATGTAGTAGTGGGGCCCGTTGGACGGATTGAGCGGGTATCCGGCCTCCGGCGGATAATTAAAGCCCTGGCGCGGAGAAAGGGAGAAGGAAACGATGGATTATGCAGAAGCCGCCAGTAAATAAAAACAGGACCGGCGCGGCAACGAGCGAGAGAGCGCCGCGCGACCGGTTCGCTTCTGACCGGAGCGGAGCGAAGCGGAGCTCCCGCTTTCTGGATCCGATCTGCTCGGGTCTGATCCGATCCCCTGCCCCTCCCCCGACGCGGCCCGACGCGACGAGACGCTCGGCCCATAATCAGTACACACGTCCCGCCTTGATCATCTATCAGCGCGAGCGCGCGGCCTGCGCTGGAAATTGTCGCTCGCGGAATTCGTTTCCTTATAGGCGGGTGCGCATGCACACGCGAATTACGGCCCCGGTACGCAAGCTAATTTTCATTTTCGGCTGGCCGATGACGAAAGCGGGATAACGATCCGGGTGTTGATTCGCGGAATCGCGTCGCTGCGGGCGATCGCTGTCTTAATAAGCGCCCTCGATCTAGATTTACCCGCGTGACCCGCGCGATAATTTCGATCGGGCGGGTACGAAGTATTGTTTATTAATCACGGAGCTCTTTTTATCCCCCAAAATGAAATCCAGCCAAGAAGAACACTCCTGTCTCGCTAAAATAATCCCGCCGTGATGATGCCGCGACTTTACCCGTCATGGAGTCGACTTCGTTTAATATTTCATTATTTTCCGTCTAACGTCGAGATTCGCAAAGAATGGCTGCACGGTGTTATTGTGGTTGAATTTTAAACACTGACGTCGCGGACTAATCGTCCGAAATACGATGTCGGCGGCGAATCGAAAAGGAATAGAAAGCGAATGCAGCGATAAAATTAAAATCGCAGTTCTGCGACGAGTCACCGAGCACACGATGGGAAATATCCAATCGTGTTCAGCCGGCTGAATGATGTTATCACCGATACATCTATATTAAGAATAGCCTGAAAATCAGACGTGAGATCCCAGAGTGTCTCACGATCGATCGCGACCGCGCCGGGTGTCCGCATTGCCGATAACCACGAAGAAACAAGTTCGCGGTATTCCCGTTCTCACCATTGGTATGCATTACACCGGACTCGGAATTATCACGGAACACCGAACTTGTCTTCCACGATCGCGCGTAACTCTTGTCGACGAAACGGTCGGACTTACATATCGAGGAGCGACGGATTTTTCGAATAATCGATACCGCGACTCAGTGTAATCCGAATTCCAAGATACTTTACTCGTATACGTCATCTTATTTTAGAAACAATTGTGTAGACAGTTCTTTTGGAGGAATCTTATATAAACCGCGTTGAACAACCGTTATATCAAAATGATATTACTTCGCTTTCTGTTTCTTTCTCTGCTAAATAATACACATTTTCCTTCCCGACCCGAGGATAGAATCGAGGACTTGGACGCGACAACCAATTAATTCCGATTCAAGTCGATCCAGTCGGATAGAAGAATTTTAATTAACGACATTAGAGTTGGCGTAATCCGTGAACAATAGCAAAATGTTCAAGTTTATGTTCCGCTTGATTGATCTTTGCCGTTTTTCATCGGATTCGGCGCAATAGGCGAGAAAAAGCGGCAATATGCAAAGACTCGGTATTCGCGTTGCGGCTTGCTTGTGCCAGAAGTTAAAGTGAAATTGTCGACGTACCTCAGAACCGAGACTCCAAGTGGCCGCGATCGTGTTGCACTGGTATGCCGGTTTATCAGGAGCGTTACAGACATCCCCGTTCGTTTGGGCCGCGGCTTCCAATTGGGTTTGATTTCCGCGACACTCGTACAGGGTCATGTGGTGTAGATACTGATGGCTTCCCGGCTGAATAACTGGTTCGTACTGAAATACACAACAAGCGCACAGGCTCGTAACGAGGATCGATGATGTCGGCTGTCTTCGCTGCGCGCCTCGATATTCTTCTCGCGGCTGCTCTCTTGGTGGAGACGTTCGGAAGGATCGCAGGGATCGCAAGGTTCGAGATAATCAAACTGGTCACTCGTATGAAAGAGATCGTTAATAGGCGAGGACTAGGCGCATGCTTTCTCCGTTGCTTTCAAGTCGAATTGAATTGCAATAAACTGATTTGTCGAACACGAAGTCCTCTCGCCGCTACCTCGAATTAAAGCCAAGCGAATATCCGCTAACTAACCGAATCACCAGCCATCGAGTATCCACCTAAGAGTATCGACAGGAAGCGAGGACGGCGCGCTTTGCGCAGTTTAAAGAAAGCTGTTCTAGCACAAAATTCGGGAAAGAGCATTCTCATTCTCTTTTTTTTCTTTCTGTCAGGTAGAAAAACATGTTCTGCGGTTCAAATTTATTTTCGATATAGAAGCGACAAATTAAGGCCCCGTCGATACTCGCGCTTAACGGCCGTTCGCCCGATCGTTAACCTCGGAATTCTTCGCCGCTCGGCGAAAGTTCCGTAAAACGCGAGAGGGACTCGCGTTTTAAGCGCTTGAGTTATCGCAATCGGGACGCTAATCGTCTCACTCCGCCCACCTCGCCGACCTGTAGGAGCACACAGTGCAGTCGCATCGCGTAGTTGGATCACGTCCGATCGAGTTCGGGATTCAGGTGTCGGTCGGTCGGTCGGTCGAGCGACGCCGGATAGAGGAGCGGACTATATCAGCCAGCCGCGCGCGCACATTCTATTCGCGCGAATGCGCCGGCTGCGGATATGAACATGAAAGGCGCGGGGACACGGCGAGGTAGAGGTGTGACATACGAGGAATAACGGAATAACACAAGTCGCAGGATTAATAGAGAACGTGATAAGGTGGGGTAAAGTTTGGGAATTTTCAGAGAAGAACACCGCGCGAAGGCTCTTCAAGGTGCAAAGTCGGACGTGGGGACGTAGAAAATTGAATAAAATGAAAACAGAAGGCGTTACTCGGGGGAAGGGGAGAATAATATAAATCATAGAAATCATAGAAATAATAGAATGTGTAAGGCGTACAAGATTGTAGGTGATAAAAGAGTTCAATATGGCGGGGTGGAAAGTAAAAGTTTAAGAGGGCAGAGGGAAGACGGGGGAGATTTTCAGGTATAAAATCAAATGTGGAGAACGTAGAGGGATGAAATGAGAAGGGAAGCAGCGTTAGCAGCGAAGAAACTGACGCGACGGCGAAGACGGCGATTAGTCACTCGCTCGCTCGTTCCGCCTTTCCAGCAGCTGTCGGGGCTGCGCCCCGCGCTGAATAACAATCGCGTGAAATTCGGACGGAATACGGCCGGGCGAGATTTTATTGAGTTATCATCTGCCTCGCGAGCGGAGCGTAAAACGCGAATTACTTGGAAATGTCCCCCGGCTAAATTATTCGCGACCGTAAAATTCCCGTCCAGGAGAGTCCGGCGGGAGTCCGGCGTTCGCTTTCGCGAACGAGCGTGTAAACTTCCAAGTGTGTACTGCAAACAGAGAGGTATCGCCTCGCGCAATTTTTCTATATCCACGGATCCAAGGATTACGGCAGCTTTTCGAATCGCGAAACGAAAAAATAGTTTTTTTCTCTTGTTTTATTTGCGCCAATTCGACGCGAATCCTTCCTCGGCGGAAATGCGTTTTGTACTATTCATCGGCGGAAATGCACGTCGTATCGTATCGGTTCTCATGTATTCGCGCTTACGATATCCACTAATACGACGGATATTCAAGCTGGAGATGCGAAAAAGTACAGGACATAAATTCGCGAGACCTGTGATAACGCACGGCGGTACAATAAAGCCGGCAATCGAGACGGTGTACCACTCCCGCGTTAGTTCTCGCTGCCGACGAGCGACGGAGCTTCGCGCAGAGATCGCGAGGCATTAGCATAACGTAAAATACATCCGAGACTGTCAGCAGTAAAATATATTCTGTGTCGCGTCGAAGCGGTCGCGCGAGCGAACGCGCGACAAACACGTTTTACTATCTGGCTCTGCGGTTTACTACCTGTCCGACTTCGATTTTTAACACGCAATTTGGAGAATCGCGCGCTCCTGCATCGGAATGGAACTTATTACCGTGCCGTGGATCGGCGCGCGGCAGTAATACGGGCTTTACGACCGGCTGCTTCGTCACTGTCGCATTTATCGACGACATCCCGCGCGTCGATCTGTCATCGTTGGTAGTGAAACCGGCGCGGCGACCGGAACGACGGAACGATCTCGCCTACCGCATCGCTTCGATCCCGCCGCCGCCGCATCGTATCGTGTAGATCCGCCCAGTCGCATATTCACGATGTAATTTCGTAGCCGAATTAATCGATCCGCCGCGCCGGGGCGCGGGGCGCCACGGCCGGGCCGCGCGAGCGACTCGAAGGAGTATCTCGCAATCGGGCGGATAATGTAAGGCGATTGCTTCTCTCGGCGCGCGTTTAATATCTCCGTCGTGAAAAGTTGAAATTGGTCTAACGGAATGTGTGCAATCGCGCAACATTCGGAACACGGTGGCAGAAAAATGTCTGTCTGGTTGAATGAAACAATTTTCTCGTGAAGTAAGAAATCAGAAATTCCGGTTGAGGAGATAGCAGAATTTAGTCCAAGTTTCCAAGATCCTCAGCCGACTTCAGAACAGAATTCCGCTATTTTTAATCGGAGTTTCTGAATCGCTCATATTTCACCAGAAAATTCGTTCACCCCCGACTGAACTGATTTTTCTCTGTGAATAATATTTTCGGTATTTTTCTACCACGCACCGTCCGAAGATATTCTCAAAAGGACGTGGAGCTACGTGGAGCTTCTGGAAAAGGAGAAATGACCGAAAAGACAAAGTTACCGAGTTAACCTCGGGAACGATCTTATCCATTATCGAAACGACTACACGACTAATGGCACTGATAGGTGCGCCGAGGAGCGCGAAAGAGTTCGTCCCTTCCACCGCGTCGAAACGTCCCTGACAGAACCGTCGATCGACGCTTGATTGTCCGCTGCGAAACGTCGTAATCTCCGGATTATCATTTCGCGCGCGACACACTTATCGAATAGCTAAGCTACCTGGAGAATGTTGCGCGTCTCTGCAGACGCGAAAATACGCGAGGTAGAAGAGTATCTCTCGTAAAGGGGGGGCGCTCGTAGGGGACGAGTGGGACAGGAAGCCAGGGAGGGGGAGGAGTCGGCAAACTCGACGTGCAGTTTCTTCGGCATTACAAGAGCATCCACCTTCGCTTTAATCAAGTCGAGGAGCGGCAGGCGGGCGAGCGAGCGAGCGAGCGAGCGAGCGAGCTACCGTAAACGGGTTATATACCTGGAGGAACTCACCTTCACGACGTGGTGTTTGCGATCAATGCTCGGCATCTTCAGGACACGGCACCAGAGCAGCGTGTCTTGCCCCATGGGTAAACGAACCTGCGCAGCAATTCGAATGGTATTTCGTTAAGCCATGAATATAATTCCATGCGAAACTAACGGATGGAGTTGCTACTACGTCGGTACCAAGTATCGATACTCGCTATCGAGACGTCGAGACGTCGTAAATACACATGCACTTTGCGCCGCAAGTTTCTGCGCGACGCGTGAATGAGATTGAGATTAAGCGGGTGTATATGTGCGTGTGTGTGTGTGTGTGTGTGTACGTGTGTGTAGGAGCGTAAAAAAACGAGAGAACCGACCAGAGGATACGCATAATACGCAGTTTACAGACGATTACACGAAAGCGTAAAAATACCGCATGCACTCGCCCCGTACAGTGCAGTCAGCCTCGGTAGCCTCGGTTTATCTTTAAATATCGATATCGCGCGCTTGAAAAGCGCGAGCGGTGCTTATGAAAATTGTCGGCAGAGCGCGAAGACGGACGGCTTGCCGATGCGACCGGCCCTAGTAAAAAATACATTCAGATATTTTTATCCCGTTAATAGCGCAACGCGGTGTCGTCGAAGCGCTCTGTCACACTCCCCCCTTGCCCCCCCCCCCGTCGTCTCTTTCTCTGCCTCTCGCATCGAGGACAAACGCGCGCGTTGCGCCGCCGTATCTCAAAAATAATTGCTACTTCATACGTACAAGGAGTCCCTTTGCCGGGACGAGTGGCGGGAAGCAGAGTGGAAAATTCGGGCAACTCGGTTACTTAATGCATACGCCGCGTTAATGGTTTGTTGCAGCGGGGTAAGAGCAGTTAAACGCAAATATATATGAGAAATTCATTACCATATTTTCCGACACCGCGTGCGACTTACGTAACAAGGTTGCGACTTGCTTTTGTGATATACGAGCCCATTTCGCTCTGTCTCAAAGCGGCACCTTCCACCTCGCCACGCGACTATTTTACACACAGCACACACACACACACACACAGCCCCGTGCACGACCAGCTGTCGTGTATTGTGCACGAAATTCGCCGCCGAGTTTTTCGGCACGAACGGCGCAGAGTAAGAACCGCATGCAGCGGCGTTTAATTTCGCGCGGTTTGTTCTCAGCTGCTCCGCTCGATACCGTAAAAGTCAAAGTACGCGCGCAAGGAACTCATCTCGTTCGATCTCGGAGTAGTCCTTTGCGATATCGCGGCCAGCCGAGAGAGAGAGAGAGAGAGCGAGAGAGAGAGAGAGAGAGAGCGAGAGAGAGAGAGAGAGAGAGAGAGAGAGAGAGAGAGAGAGAGAGAGAGAGAGAGAGAGAGAGAGAGAGAGAGAGCGAGAGTGCGAGGTCTGGCTTGCATCGTGCGGCTCGCATGTCCGGCGATACACGGCGAAACGCGCGATTGTTGGAGCGTTAAACGCAAATTACGGGATACTCCGGATAAGGATGTCGAGGATACGCGAGGGTCGCCGGGGAAGCCTCGGAGGACAAACGGAGCGGCGTCGCGCATCGATTTTCGCCGATCGCCGTCCGATTTGCTCGATTTGCGCGGCGCGATCGCGATCGCGCGCGCGCGCGCGCGCGCGCGTTTCTCGCTTCACCGCGGGACAAGTGTTGCATGTCGCGCACTCTCGGTCATGCCGCTTGTCCCGCGAGCATCTACAAGTCAGATTCGTAGTCGGGCGAATTACGCGAGGAACACGGGCTTTCGTGCATCAATGGAGCCACGCTACGCTCCGTTGTACGCTGCGTTGTACCTCGGCAAATACGACGAAGCGCGCGTGGCGGGAGGAGGGAGGGCGGGCGGGTGGGCGGGCGGGCAGGTAGACAGGTAGGTAGGTGGAGAAAGAAGAAGGATGCCGCTGGGTCGGGTTCGAGACGGGCCGCCGCGGGGCGCACGGGCTGCGTTGGAGAAAATTACGATTCTTTTTCTCGCGCGCATCGCCTCGACTTCTGGCCCTGAGCGCTCTCGGCCGAGCCACGCCGGCGGATTCTCCCACGCGCTTATGCGAAATTATCGATGCCGAGAGATTACCGGGAAGGACTGCGAGCGCGCGTTTATTGTTTCGCAGTCGAGCACGCCGCGGGCGACGGACGGTGATTTTGAAGGGTCGCCGTGGACGCGTTTCCGATTTCTGCGCCCGCGGCCGCCGCAACTCGAGACGACGCTTCAGCTCTCACCGAGGCTGGCCCGCGACCTGCCCGAGACGCGGCCCGAGGCCCGTGGCGGTAATTGCCGTCGCAAGCCGCGATGATAAATTAATCGCCGCGCTCTCTCGCGCGTAATCTCGTGGCTCCTCGCGGTGCGCCGCTGCATCCGAGCGGACCGAAGGAGCTGGAAATTACGAGCGAGAGTGGGAAACGTACGGTAAATCACGATCGAGCGGTCTATAACGGATCTATAATGGTGAGAAGTTGAAAATATCCACGAGCCGCGTGCGAGCGAGAGAGAGAGAGAGAGGCAGAGGAAGAAAATACGACGCGCTACGAAGGACGGAGGCGATGTAAACCCGCTCCTAACTAGTCTCGGCTTCTTCTTTGTGCCTATTCTACTATTCATATTCATCGCGACGCGATACAAAAGTTATTCGACCGCTCGGCAAGTTCCGCGCGCCAACTTAAGGGAGAACTTTCTCGCGCGATACCCGCGCGAGAAAAGGGAGCAGGTCGAGATACGAAAATACAAAGCGACGGTCGTCGATATTCCCGATAGATCCCGCGAGAGAGATACGAATGCGCTTTTCTTTTTTCAGTCTTCTCGATATCTCGACATCGACGTTGAGCGGGACGTCGAGGGGGTGGATCGATGATCCCGATTGAATTTCGACAGTTTCCCTCGAACACACGTAGCGAGATGAATATTCCCGTTTTATTGCACTTTCTCATCCATCATCGCTCCGCGGAGCGTGCGTCCGCCTTCGAAAATATTTGTCACGCGCCTGCCGGTTGCGTTATAACTTCGATATGTTATATAAATATATCCGGGGCACACATAGACTGCAATCTCCTTACATGCCGGAGCAGACCAGTTTTCCTTCGTTGCTTTCGTCTCTTTACAGCCGTCCGCGCCGTGCGCTTTTAAGGTAAAACAAGCAAACGCGTGTATACGTCGCTGTCGCTTTGAAGACGGAAGAAAGCGGAGCAGCGAGAGAGAGAGAGAGAAAGAGAGAGAGAGAGAGAGAGAGAGAGAAAAGAGAGAGAGCATAGCGTACACGCACACACACACACACACACACACACACACACACACACACACACATATACGTGCACTTTGTGCACGTTAAAAAGAACAGAGCCGCGGCAGCCGGAGTAGTTCCGCGACACAACAATCGTAACAACATTTCTTCGCGACGCGAGCGGCCGCAAGAATTCCGCCAATGCGCAGCACGGCTGATACAATTCGACAAACTGGGAACATCCCGCGACGCTGCTCGCGAATACGATTTCGTGTGAAACGCTCGCTTGTCGCCGTGCGATATTACATTGGCCGACATTTCCGGCTCATTTATCAGAGAGCGCGTTCATCGAGTGATCTTGCACTTTTTCGCGGGTCAACCAACGGAACGCGCGCGAGCGCTCGTCGGCGCGGCCCGATTCCGGGTCCCGATATAAACTATAAACAGCGCAGCGGGGCAGACGGTGGAATTAGCATTGTCCGATTCCCGGCGATAGCGCCGACCTCGTAATCTACGACCCGGCGACGCTAATGAACGAATAGTTTTTGCCGGATGTGACCCGGTTAAGATTTATGCCGTCATAAATTCGGGGCGCACAATGTTCTTTCTCTCCCTCGCGCCCCGCGCGCTCCTCTCCTTCTCCCGGGCCTCCGTTGGCGCGTCCGATAAAAATCCAGCAGCTCGCGCGGCGGCGGACACGCTAAACGCGTTCGTACATTCATCTCACGCGCGTGACGCACGCACACGCGACCTCTAACGCACGCCCGAGCGCTACGCGTGACGGTGACAAAGCCGTGCGACGAGAAAGACAGAGCGTTTTGACGGGATAAAAAACAAAATGAAAAAAAAAAAGAAAAAAGGAAAAGCTCGTTCGCGTCTCGGATCCGGATAAACGAATAATCCGCCGCGTTTCTGTCGATATCGAAACGCCGACATCGCGTGAACCAGTTTCCGTTTTGTTCCTGTGCTACTATCTTTCTTTCTCTCTCTCTACCTCTCTCTCTCTCTCTCTCTCTCTCTCTCTCTCTCTCTCTCTCTCTCTCTCTCTCTCTCTCTCTCTCTCTCTCTGTCCTCCCTCTCTTTCTCTCATTCTCTCTCTTCGATGCTTAATCTCGAAACGGCAAGGCGAGTTAATACTTAATCGAGCGAAAAAAACATCGACTCGACGATATTTCGGTAATTTTCCTCTTCTGCCTTTCCCTTTTTATCGCAGTCTATTTTTCGCGAGTCCGCGAAGCGGCGCGCTCGCCGATTGAAATTAGCGCCGGCGATGATTCTCCCGAGCTCGGGCGAAGCTCGGGCAAAGTAACTTCGGTTTTCTTAAATACTTGCACGGAACCCGGCTCGAATCGCAAACCCTTCGCGCAAATCGAGTCCAATATCATAACGCCGATGGCACTAGCAGCCAGATCCACTTTCGTGAACTCTAATTAAAACTCTTTAATCGTCTTTGTTCGCGCTCGCGAATTTCTCCGCGGTCGAGATGAATATTAACTTTGTTCTTGTTTCTTGTCACGTGCCGTCGTAATAACGCGAATCGTAATAAATGCAATGTGCACCAACTACTCTCTCTCTCTCTCTCTCCCTCCCTCCCACCCCCTTTCAGCTCCTCTCGCGCGCCTCGTTCCTCTCCCCTTTAATTACATCGAGAACGAAATATTTTCCTCTTCAACCAGCTGAGCTCGCGTTCGTTAAGTATTTGCGCTGACAGAATCTAACTCATTTCACTTCACGTGAATGCTCATCTCTCTCTTTCTCTCTCTCTCTCTCGTGGAGTACATTTTTCTCACACTCCACGACCGCGTGAGCATTTTGAAGTTTAACTGAATCCAAACTTTCTCCACGGTGTGTAATTTTTATTATAACGAATAGTTCGTAAAATCCTCTGGACGGCAACTTTGCGCGGTAATCGCTCGCCGTCAAGCGCGCTAACGTTGAGCTACGAGAGGGGAGGAGAGTTCACCACTCCCGTCCAGTGATGGTTCGTTAACACCGACTTGCATTTGCTTTTGTCGCGACTTACGAGACGAGGCGGCTGACAGTGATAGGAGCGAAGCGAAGAGTGGCGCGGGCCGGAACTCACCTGCTTGTTCAGGATATCCCAAATTTTCAGCGGCTTCTCCGTTTCTGGATTACGTGAGTTCCGCCTCGGCTGCGCGTCTCTCTGCACCAGATACAATGGTCTCGTTCCTCGCACCGCGCCGTGATCGGGCAAGATCCCGGCCGCCGATACCGGCTCCTCGACGTGATATTGCCAAACTACTTGCATCGTGTCGTTCTGAAACACAAAGGACGTAGCAAAGTCAGGGCGGCGGGTGTCTCGTGTTTCGCTTTTCGCTGCCGAAAAATATCGATAGAGAGACAATATACAATACGATAGAGAGGCAATATACAAAGAATCGCGCCTTTATACCCGAATATATCCGTAAAAATAGCCGTTTCTCCAGAAAGGAGGGCTCCCTTGTACGACGCGAATAAACGGGCCGTATGTGAACGGAGGCGGGTTTTACGCTTTGATTTTTAATCAAACCGCTCGTCAAATTTCAGACCGAAGATTTCACAGGACGAGACAACAAATCGCGGCGCACTTTTCCGAAACTTTCGGTCGAGAAATAAAGCAGAAGTTCGTCTCAATTTCTGTTGCTCACCGCCAGTCCCGGCGGTGAGCGACAATCGACGTTTCTGCTCGAAAAAGAACAGGCATTCCTACACGCGATATCCAACGTAAAGGACGAGATGATTTCTCCCTTTATCTCGAGCGCACTACACTATTCCAAGGGTTCGAAAGAGTTCCCACGAGCGGATCATTTAGCCGCAATTAAAACTCTCGTAGCCACCATTTTTGCCCGATCATCCAGGGTGGTCCGGAGCCTTCGGTAACCCCGAAGTCCACGCGTACGATCAATTCCGCTCATGGCGCGAGCCAATGATCTGCGGCCGTGCTGCGGGCACGCACGATTCACCCTCGAGAAGAAAGGCGAGCATCGAGGGTGGTCGCTGCGCGATGTATCGAATACAAGCGACGCTGTCCTCCCTCTGTCCGCTTGTCGCGGTTAGCCGCGAAACGTACACGTGTCCGACCGCGCCAAACTTGGGGTTGCTTTTACACGAGCCACTTACACATTTCGGGACAATCGCGTCTTGATTGGGAGGGTATAACGGCCATACCCGAGCTCGTTAACCGATTCATCCCCAAAAATGTCACCCGTTGACCCCTCGCGTGGAAATGAGTAGGTACGGTCACCGGTAACCGGATTTACTGGTTTGTAATCAGGACGACTTTTCCGCTCACATGATGACACCTCCCCCCTCCTTCCCGTTCGCAAATCGCATCTTCAAACGGTGGCTGATTGGCCGTTTCCACGATTCCGCCGTCGCAATCATCGGACGTGGCGTGAGATACGCGAGGACATCGTGTTTCCTCAAATTCGGGAATAATCAAATGCAACGTGCGAAATTGTACACGTTGGAATCTCGGTCTTTCTTTTTCTCTCTCACGTGCAAGCGCGAAGGGCAGAACTAAGGGAAATCCCCAAAAAATCAAAAGTGACGAGTGCGCCCTCGTCGGTGGAACAAGGTACAGCGACAGACAGTATTCGTATTCGCGAAGCTGTTGAAATAATCGATGCAATCTCTAGCCGGGTCACATCGCGAAATATTATTCCGGCGATAACGATCGCGCGTTAATACCGCGCCGCTGGGAGACTCGCATACGTCATATCCGCGATCGTTATCGAGCCCCCTCCGGTGTGCCATCATTAACATATCAGAGATACAGATTAAGAGCGCACTTGCCCACTCCGGACACGTCTCGGCGCGAAGGAAAAAATCGTCCGCGGGCTCGCAGAAATCTCGCAATCGCGACCGACGTCGTGCGGATTTGCAAGCCGCTCACGTGTTACCCATTCACGTTCTTCGATAATCGCTGAGCCGCACGTCGTGCCCCAATATCCTTCTCTCTGCTTGCCGTCCTCTGCTTCTCGTCTCTCAGCCGTTCTCTCTCTTTCTCTCTCTCTCTCTCTCTTCATCCCTCCCTCCCTCCCCCTTTCTCACCCGCTCTCTCGCCCGCGCCGTGGTGAAGGAGCTCGTGTCCGTTAACTCCACCGCATACAATTGTCGCAACGCACCTACGTTCGCTTCAGTCGAGACGACTGAGACAATCGGGCGCCGACGGTTCTCGCCTGAATCGAAGGAACAGCGAGCATGGGGATACGACGAAATGGCGACCCAGATTCGACAGATCGAAAGATTCCTCGGCTCGAGATGGAAGGTCGATTGGAAGGAAATGGGCATCGCGTTGGAGGAGGAGCGAGGTGGGAATCACGCGATTCACCCTCGATCGATTCCGGAGACGCCCTTTGACTACGTTATGCAGACTGTCTCTCTCCCCCCCCCCCTCTCTCTCTCTCTCTCTTTGCCTCTCTTTTTATCTCTATTTGTCTATCAATCGCTCCTTTTCGTTTCCCCTCATCTCTCTGCGCTTCGACTCTTCATCTGCGGTGTAGCTTCTCCTGAGGTGCGTCGCACGTTACATACAAAATGCTCTGAAACCGAGTCAAGCCGTGCGGTGTCTTTAAAACGTAATATTAAACCTCCAGAGTTTCGTTAAAATTTTAATCAGCCCTCTTAATGCGGCGGGAGATCTTTTTCTTCGGCTTCGGAGAGAGTGCGGGACTAATAATAGTTACGTCTCTCCCGCTGTCGCTTTCTGTAGCTACGTATATATTCGTTTCGTATACGTGCAAAGTTTGTAATTAATTCGCGAACTTCTGATGTTTCATATTTCATCCTGACAATTCTGTCATATTTTCACCTTTCGTCTGTTCCCAAACGGTTAAATATTAAATTGCAATTCTTCGCAAAGATTTTTTTTTGTATTTTAAGCTCGATCATTATTTCGAGTGTAGGTAACAAATCCAAGATGTTTCAGTATTTCCAATAACCTCCAGTACGAGGTTACTTGATTTAACATCGTCCAAAAATTACAATTTATTTTATAACCGCTTGGAAACCGCTGTTACAAAATTTATATCGCTGCGCTTTTGTTATCGAATGCCCTCACGAAGGTTCCTTTTATCTTGGCTTGTCTAATTTTGCAGCTCTTTCCCCAATTTTTCCCCAATTTCGGAATTTCTTGAGCTCTCCCTCGCTCTTCATGCTGAATAAGTATACCTCGCTTGTTCTCGGCTTGTTCATGAGCATCGTACGTATAGAAATATAACTTAGAATTACTCCATTATTGAATTATTATCCGTTCTGCTGATGATATTTTAAAATTTAATTAACATGGTGACAAAAAGAAAGCTTGACACATTCAATCGTCGGTTTTGACACAGAAGTGGGAAATTCGTCATTTTCTCTCTTTCTTAAAGTAAAGTGAAAAAGTGTTTCTCGGGCGGAGAAACCCGATTGAAAAATGCGCAATTGGAATGGTTTCTGGCGGTTAGACAAGCCTGCTTTTGTCCTACGGTAAAATCAATATTCCTTTTCTCCCCATCGATACATCTTCGCGTCGGTGTCTCTCGCGGGAGATGGCAGCTCGCAAATATATCTTTGATCGTCGTCAGGCTCAAAAGAAGCGGCGCCATTGCGACAACCGAGTCTGTCATTTGCGACGCGAGTAAGCCATGCACTCGATCTCAGGAATCCTGATTTAAAAGATTCGCTTAACCCCGCGCAGTCCGAGAAGTAGGTCGGCCCGGAAAGAACAAAGTCGCGAAGAGGATTCCTCCGCAAGTGAGGATGACGTAGACATTCACAGAGATCATTAAGCAGCTATACGACCCATGGAGAATGTAAGGATGCGTTAATTACCGCGAGGATCCTTATTAGAGATGCTCATTAGATGCAAGAAATTGCAAAAGAGCGGATACGTGTAACGCGCAACGGAGTCGCGGGAAAAACCTGTGCGAAAGAAGGAGAGAAATTGTTACACCGGAACTTGAAGAGTTTTTATAGAATTTTTATTAGAGATAATATCGCGAGGAAATTGTACGCGCGCTTTGGCTTAAGTAAATATCAATGAGCCTCCTCGTTAATCCAACCGTTAATCGTGCGGATATCCGGTAATGTCCGGTAATGGAAAAAGTCTCACGCCGCCTCGCTATAAAGTTACTTAATTCCGCAATAAGCAACATTGCTTGAAAATATATTACTCGTACACTCTCGCCGGATTTTTATTATTTAACTTCTATATACTCGAGCATATACTTCCCCGTATTTTGCGGTGAGTTAAACGCGAGGGACGTACGAGGAAGAATACATATCGCTGCTGCTGCTGCAAATTTTAGAAGATATCCTCATCAAGATAACCGCGCAAGAACGGCTAATCTCGCCCGAAGGACAGACCGCATAACTTCACGGGACAAGATGTAAGCAAGAAGAAGAGCGGGACGGATCGGAGAATCGAAGCGCATCCCGCGCTAACTCGAGCGCCGCTTCTTTCGCGGGGCAACTTTGTTGCCCGTTGTTCTCGCGAGCCGTAAATCTCACCCGCTTGGTCGTTTTGCACCCTGACGTCCCTTCCGCTTTCGCCGTTCGTGTATCCACGTTTACGAACGATCGTCGAATCGCAATTATTCGTCCCGATAGTCATTGGGTGAAAGAAAGTGAGCGGTGAGCGTAGAAAGATCGCGGAGGACGGAGAGAGAGAGAGAGAGAGAGAGAGAGAGAGAGAGAGAGGGAGAGAGGGAGGGGAGAGGCGGAAAGAGAGGACCCCGTTTCGAAAGTTAAAGATGTCAGTCGTGATGTGAGCAAATGGCGCGCGAAGCTCGGAAACCGCCGCCATAAAAGATCCGGGCCACGTGCTGCATGGAATGCCGAAGCTGAGTGCGAAGAGGAAGGGCGGGAACGGTGGTGGTGGCGGTGGCAAAGGCGGGGAGGAGCTCGCGAAGGGAGGGCTGATTCTATAATGGCGCTTAATAGAGCTATCTATTAAGAGAAGCGAATAGAACCGTCGCTGTAGGCTTGAGCTTGCCGGCGGAACGACTCTCGAGAGATTCGAGGCTTGCTTGACGTTGAAACAAATGGCTCGAACGACGATAAACAGAGCAATCTCCCTTTATGGCAAACGAAATCTCCGTATTTGACAATTATCCGGAAGCACGCGGCGGCACAGCCAACTGTAATCGTTCTTGCTCAGTCTAGTATGAGAAACTCACCGCAGCCACCAGCACCGCCACCGCTGTCGCGGGGTTAAGGGTTGATATTTCCTCCCGTCCGGAATCTAAGGGTCGATGTAATATTGACGTTACTACAAAAGGGGTTACAATAAGAGGG